GATTGTTTGCAAGATGACGAATAATCATGATCTTCCCAAAGGGTGGTTCATGTACATGGAGAACATTTTTTAAAAAGTACTGACAGCAATAACAGATAATCCCGTTATTTCATGGATATCACTGCGTAGGCATGAAACTAATTTTTTTTAAAAATGAGTTGACTAGCACTAGATACACAAAAATTAATTAATGTTATTAGTAATACCCAGATAACAAGAACCATGAAGTCATAATTGAATGATGTAGGAAACTGTGTATTACCCAGGAGTCGACAGAGAACCATCTCCTGCACATGGACCCCCCCTTCCCACCTGCAATTATAAGGCACAACGAAGCAAGGGCAGACCGAGGTGGGCCATCCGGCGAACCGGACTCGGCGGTACTGTGAGCAGGGAAGTGGGCCACCAAGGGGGGGGGAGGACTGGGAAAACCGCAGGGTGTCATTGCCCCATCTTTCTGGTTGGAGTCCTCCCCCAGTCACTGAGTCTCTGCCAGTCATGAGCTTCCTTGAAAGAGCACTCAAGGGTGACAGATGTGAAGGAGCATTTCTCCCACACCACTTCTGAGCTGCTGCATCAGAGGACAGCCGGCCGCGGGGAACTCGGGGGACAGTCTTGCTTGGGCTGATTTGGATGGAGCCTTATTTCGGTGAACAGCTGGGTTTCCAACCCCCGGCTGGGCCTCCAGCGGAAAGGTCACCACTTTAATCTCATGCTCTGCCCTCAGGGAGTGTTTACCAACCTTTATTGGACAACGTGCTTTGTCAGACATGAACACAGTGTCTTTAGCACTAGGCAGACAGGCCTGGAAACTGGAGGCCAATTTTATTACAAATGAGTTTGTCAAAATGTATGTGCAGGGGTTGATGAAATGTAAGCCTTGAGAACTTGACTTTTTTTTTCTTAGTTTAAAAGTCTAAGAATGCCAGGAGAACTCATTTGTTTATTCTATATATTCTTGGTCAGAAATTGAAGCAAGTTTTGTTATAAATGGTGCTGAATGTATCAAGAAAGGCCAGTTCATCCAATTTCAGTTCCAGTATTCTCTAAGCCAGTGGTTCTCAATCTTGGCTGTGTAGGAAAATTTATCAGAGAAGTTTTTTTTTAATGCTGATAGCAAGACTCCATCTATCAATTGTATCGCAATCTCAGGTGGAAGGGGTGTAGGTCGAAATACATTTTGTCATTGTATTTTAAAGGGTCAAATAAACAATTTAACTATAACAATTTTTGTAGCTTTTCCATTTCTTGCTGTTTGCAAAATGCCGGGGCTCTTTTAACAGTGAATGGATGCGAGCAGGGCTTCTCTCGGCCTCTGAACGGCTCTGTCTCAGCTCCGCCCCCAGGGCCCGGCCTAGCTGGTCCCCACTGATGTCGGTGCTGTTCACCTCCCGGATCCCCCAAGTCGCCCCTGGATGCTGCTGGTGGGTTACCGATGGCCATAAACCCACAACTTCCTTTCTGTGGGGGTCTCTCTCCCCTCCCCTTGAACCTGGGTTGACTCACACCTGTGCACACCATTGGGATACAGAGAACTGATGCTGCAGGCACAGGTCTAGTCCGGAGGAGCCCCAAGCCACCATTTAGGAAGCCTGACTACTACTACCTGATGGAGAGAGACCACAGGGAGAGGTCCTGGAGTTAAGCGGAGGGGGAGTCCTGGCTGTGCCCAGCCTTCCCGCCACTCCTACTAAGACGGGCCCCATTAGAGTGAGGCCATCCTGAACCTTCTAGCCCAGCCCAGCTGGGTGACCCCAGTTACCACTATGTGGGGCAGAAGGATCCCTGTCTGAATCCCTGACCTACGATACTGCAAAAGGTAATACAGTGTGGCTGCCTAAGCCTCTGAGCTACAGGGCAGCTTGTGACGCAGCCACAGGTAAGAGCTCAAGTGTGGTCCCGCTAACCAGCAGCGGCGTCTGGGAGCTTAACAGACACGCAGATTCTTGGCTCGCCCCAGACCTACTGAAGTGGGGTCTGCATTCAGGAAGATCCCTGGGGTGTCTGCATGCACACTGAAGCTTGGGAAGTGCCAGAATCCTTAGCTGTGGCTGCCAAAGAAACTCTAGGCAAGCTTCAGTTTGAGAGTCCGGTTCCCAAGTTAAATGAACAAAATGAGCATTCTTGATTCATAGCAAACTCCACACATCAAATTCCCTTTGTACCGGGTGTGGTGTAGGCCCTGCGAGGGTGCTCCTTAGCTGCTGAGCTATCCCGACAGCTCCCCCAAAGGCAGACCAAGTTGTAAACCACTCTGAGATTCCCAAGGAGCCTTCAAAGACCTGAGACTCTAAAACTCTTAATTGAATGGATGGAAAGAGGTAAAAAGAAACACTGCACCACTCTGACTAAAAAGTGGGATGGGGAGGACCTCGTGTCTAATTTTAACAGATTAAGTTACAAGAAAACAAAATGCTACATGTATTATAGTTTCTTTGCATTACTTTTTTCTACTCAAGCTTTGTTTTGCATCAACATAAGGCCATTATTTGAACAAGAGCTAGCAGCTCATTCAGGGCGGTTTGTTACACAGCACAATTCCAACAGGTCTGAGCACCAGCTACTCCCTCGAAGTTGTGGTGGGTGCTAAGGATACAGACATGAAGATAAGACCCAGCCTGCCCTCAGGGTGCAGCCCAGTGAAGGAGATGGACCCGCAGATGTGTAATCTCAGTGAAATACACATGGTCCCCAACTTACAATGTTTCGATTTGTAATTTTTCAACTTTACAATGGCATGAAAGTGATACACCTCTCCACAGAAATGATACTTTGGATTTTGAATTGTGATCTTTCCTGAGCCGGTGACGTGCGGTGAGACCTTCCCTCGTGATGCTGGACGGGGCGGCCCCGCGGCTCCCAGGTGGCCAGGCCACCACCAGGGCCCACAGCCGATGCACCCCCAGCCTTTCTGCACCTGATTTTCACTTTCAGCACAGGATTCAATACATTACATGAAAATCAGCACTTTATTATTAAATAGGCTGCGTGTGAGACGGCTGTGCCCAGTGTGGGTTCAGGTGAGCATTCTGAGCACGTGCGAGGTGGGCCGGGCCGAGCTGCGATGTTCAGGAGGTTAGGTGTATTAAATGGATTTCCAACTTAGAATGGGTTTATCAGGGCATAACCCCATCATAAGTCAAGGAAGATCTGCACAGGAAATGCATATAATTTTGTGACTGGTAGGTATCTTAAAGAATTTCAAGTAATCATCCTTTAATGTCTGAATAATAAAATAGTAAATTTAGAGCCTTTAGTAACAGGAAGTCCCTGCCTCCGAGGCAGCCCACTGCATTTCTGAACAGCTCAACTTCACTGCTCCCTCATGTTTAACTAGAAACTAGGTCCCTCTTCTCCCTGCATCTGGGCTAACAACCACAGGACACGCAGAACCAGCGGTGCCTGTCTGATGGCCCGTCCGTTCTCTGTGCACAGAGGGCTCTATGTGGAGAGAGGGGCTGAGAAGACAGATCCAAAGGGATCAAGATGGAAATCATGCTAAGTCCGTTATAAACACAAACTGAAGAGAAATGAAAGGAGAAGCAGAAGGAAGAAAGAAGCCAATAAGATAAGAGTGCCCTGTGTAAGTTTCTTCAGCGGGTCGTCCGACTCAGAGCAGCACACAGACAGGAGTTCAGAGCCAGTGCTGGCTCAGGTGTGGGCCGCCCGCAGGACGCCTGGGGCATCGCAGTGTTGATGCCGCAGCTTTGATCAGTATTTTTTGACTCCCTACTGAGCGCTAAATTAGGAAAACATTTAGGGAAATCAGCTCCTTATAGGGACTTCTATTTCATGTAGTGGACGTAGCCTCCTAGAATGACTCAGGCACATAGATTTCATTTCACAAAACAGTCTTACCTTTACAAACTTTGCAACAGCTGTGGGACAGGGTAATCTGATGAGACTCTGCGCAATCCAAGACGGGGCAGCCTGGACTCTCAGCCAGCTTCATGCTTTGGTCCTGTCAGACAGCAGAAAACAAAGGCTTCAAACCTCTCCACTAGGACCTACTAAGAAGTTTCCAGATCCAGCGTCCAAGAGGGCTCTTCTGAGATGAGGGCAGAATTGCCATCCTGAGACCCTCTGCACAGGCCACAAGCTTGCTTGCTAAGTGACATCGCATGGTCACTGGGAATGGCTGTGCGCCGCACTGCGGCTGTGCCTGCACGGTGCCGGACATCTGGGTGGTCCGAGATTCCTGCTAGTTCTAGAGCACGCTGCACACCCAGGTGACACCATGGCAGAGACACAGCTTGAGACAGATCCACAGCACCCGTGGAAACAGCCGCAAGTAAAACCGAGCTTCTAAATATTCTCATTCAAAGTTCTCTAAACTGTTGGAGATTCTCAGGAATGTTGGGAATCCACAAAATGGTACAGAGAATGGAAGTAGAATTTATGTCCATTGTGAATGAATGCCTTGCATATTTTCTGGCATGCAATTAGCATTCAGAAGTATTTCTTGAATGAATGAATTAATCAATATAAAATGACTATAGTTCAAGCAACCAAAATCCTTCTCAAGGAGAAACCAAAATACAAAACACTTCTCTGATAAAAGCAAATATCTGGCTTCTATACTATAAACCTCCAATCTGGAAAAAGCAAGGGTCATTAACAATGTCCTACTATACTGACCAGCACGTAAGTAATAAAGAGCTGTTGGAACTCACGGGCTTCCATTTTAATATTGCTCAACAGCTTAGATTCTGAGATGCCACTTCTGTAAGTACCCCTTTTACAGAACAAGTCCTCATTTTAGCATCTCCCTCTCCCTGGCTTATCCGTGGAAAGGACCTTCTCTAAATCATCAAAACCTCTTATCAGGAGAACGGCAGGTCACGTATACAGAGAAGTCAAATGCTAGTTTTCCTTCAGTTTGACAGTAATATCCATTCTGGTAATCTTATTTTCACATCCACAGGATTTTTCTGTTACTATTAAAGTCACAGGCCCCCCAGAACACGTGTTCAAGGCCACAAAACTGACAGTGAAGGAACAATTAAGGACTGAAATTGGGAACCCAGGACATGGGAGCATGACAGGGCTGTCAGTTACGCACAGGTGTGAACACAGGGGCTAAGGGGCCTCAAGGGAGAAGAAGCAATGAAAGCCCTTAATGTCAAGAACTACAAAAGCTCATGCTAATCCCGCAGAACTGTGCTGTACCATCAGCAGCCTCTAGCCACATGATGCTTTCAACACCGTAAATGTAAAATGCAGACACCATTTTGAAGGCTTAGCATGACAAAAGATTTTAAAATAACTACATGTTAAAAATGGTAATACTTTGGCTATATGGGGTTAAACATGGAAAATTTAGCCTAATAAAAATTACGTTTGTGACTTGTATGATATTTTTTATTGGTCAGCACAGTATTAAGGGGTTAGGGAATGGTGTCTTGTTTGAGTGAAAAAAGGTAATATTTATTATTTGCTTAATATTTACCAAGTACCTGCCTCTACAGGCTCCTCTCTAAACCAATTTTTAAAGTAAAGTCATTTTATAGCTATTTTAAAATCAAGTGGGCAACTATCCCAGCAAATTTCTATACCATAATTATCAATATTATGGAACAAACTGATCAAATGAAAAGAATACACACACATACACGTTAGGGAAAGGAACTTCAAATGCCCTCAAGGTTTTTAATCAGAGCTGATATTTCAAAGTTGGAGGTTTACCATTAGAAACCAGCTGAAAAAAGTTTTCTGTCTTCCCTAAAGTAACTTTTCTCTGATTTCTTTGTTTCCATTTGGAATCATTAGCGCTCACTCTAGGTCTTTCAATCATTGTATTTATCGTGGACCTACTCCACCAAAGCCACACTGGTATAGGGACATTAATAATAAATCCGTCTTGAAATACAGGTTCAGCAACTCGTGTTAATGTTCCTACACCTCAGCTTCCTTATCTTTAAGATGGCAACCGAGACCACAGGACGGCCAGTTCAAAGCCAAAAGGAGAAGCTAAAACACTCTGGAATGGGCATGAAGAAATCAGAGCTTTCACGTTCCGGGAATCGAATCTGTCACTGTCACAATCTTGCCTCTATTGTCTCCTCCTGGTTTACCCAAAAGGACTTCCAACTTAAGATGAAGTGTACAGCTCACTTCCACCGGTTCATATTGGTAAAATTCTTAGGATTTTCCTTTCCCCAACAGTATCATATAAATGCTCACGGTTGACTGGTGGGTGACGCTAGCAGAGTAAACCATTTATCTTAGTTTTCTACGTAACCTATACCTCTTGAGTCATCCCCAAAACCAATGTATGGGAAGCATTTAAAGAGGAAAATTAAGGACCAAATGTAAATGCAGCCCTAAAGTGGACACTTTCTATGTAGACAGTTTCCTTTAAAGAGAACATGGCTTGATATACAACATTATAGTTTATAAAAGGCAAATATGAAAAGTATTATGAACACATTTACTCTTTGAATTAGCAGGTGAAAGAGGAGAGAGAAGAATCTTCATTTCCTTCAGAAGCAAACTTCAAGAGACCATGGCAGAAAATTCATAAAGAATTCCCCTTCAAATTGTTTAAAATATTCTCACCAAGGGGATTAAGATCAAATTCGTCTCACTTCCATCCAATAGCTAATTTTTATTGGGTAAGTCTTATGCTTTGCTTTCCACTGCACATCACTCATGTGGATCAAAAGCCATGAGTGACAACAGTCTGCCTGACTTTATCTACATTTTCTTCACAACAGCAAACAAGGACAATTTGAATTTGGAAACTATGACAACTTCACGGAACTTCCACTGGATATAGCAACATTTTTAGTTACTCTGAAAATTATTTTATAACATTAATTTACATGTCTGCAAAAGTAATGGAAATTTTTGTACATTTGAACTACACCCTCAATTTTCTCTTTGCCTCAGAAGTTTTAAAAGTATTACAAGGATGAGCTTTTAGAGAAACATTTTCTGTGTTTATATGATTGAAGGAATTTTGAAAGACCCATGAAGATTTGCCTACCTTGCACTCATAAAGAACACAAGCTCCAGAAGAGGAATAGACGGTATTTCTCTCTCCTTCAAAGTAGGTTCGTCCTTGAAACTGGCATATTGCTTTGGAATAAAAAAAATACATACATTTATTTTTCTTCAGAAAAATATTTCAGAGGCATTCAGATCATTTTGCAACAATTTTGCTTGTTCTTACGCCTTTTCAAGGGGCTTGAGAATCTATAAACCTAAATTCAATCTAACATGAGGCCCACGCAGGCTCCAGCATTGTCATGTCCACTAAGCTCACAGAGTAGAATACGGTACAAAAAGGATAAGAACAATGGCGAGTCAGAATTAGACTGAGAAAAGGGGAGCCAGTGAGCAGACTTGAGGCCAATTTCCTGGCAGCGAGATGACAACCTACTGAGGGTGTGGTAAGCAAGTGCTCAGAGCAGCTGAAGCCAGGGGCAGCACAAATACAGGAGAAGTTCATTTTTACAGACAATTAAAGAATTTTAAAATGAAACTAGAAAGAAGCTGTTTCAATTCCAGCACATACATGTAAACTGTAGGTGTCCTGGGTTAGTACTACTTTGTCTGTGAGTGCACACCGATCAGAGGGTGTGGAGAGCTCTTTGCGGGGCCTGCCTCACCTCCACCACAATCCAACTTTTAAAACAGAACTTCAGATGTGATAGGGAAACACTTCCAATTGGTGAAAATGCATAGAAAGTATCATATACTTTTTGAGACTTTGAAAATATTTGCAATTCACACAAACATTTTACCAACAAGAATTGTTTGTTTGCTTTGAAATGAAGGCTTCACACTACCAAGGTGACCTACACAGAGAGTTACTCTGAAGCTAATGAAGCTCGGCCTTCAGCATCCCTCTCTGGCTTAGACCCTGAAGACTCTGAACCCCCTTCTGCATTGAAAGGCACCCCACACTGTACACGTTTTGGACCCCACAGCACCTAGAGAAAGGCCATTGGAAATGACCATCTCTGATAGGAAAAGATGTAAGTGGTTTGTTAGCCTGTTTCCTAAATCCAATTCTCATTTTAACAACACAGACTTTATAAAATGGATGTGTACATTTTCTTTTAATTCCATGGTATGAATTTGAAAAAGTCTTTCCCTCTTCAGAATTTATATATTTCTATTACCTTTAAAATCATTGGGTTATCTAAGTGTCCATCAGTAGATGAATGGATAAAGAAGATGTGGTACATACACAATGGAATATTACTCAGCCATAAGAAAACAAATCCTACCATTTGCAACAACATGGATGGAGCTAGAGGGTATTATGCTCAGTGAAATAAGCCAGGCGGAGAAAGACAAATACCAAATGATTTCACTCATATGTGGAGTATAAGAACAGAGAAAAAACTGAAGGAACAACACAGCAGCAGAATCACAGAACCCAAGAATGGACAACAGCTACCAAAGGGAAAGGGACTGGGAAGGATGGGTGGGAAGGGAGGGATAAGGGTGGGGGAAAGAAATGGGGCCTTATGATTAGCATGAATAATGTGGGGGGGGGGCACAGGGAGGGCTGTGTAACACAGAGAAGACAAGTAGTGATTCTACAGCATCTTACTACGCTGATGGACAGTGACTGTAATGGAGTTTGCGGGGGGAACTTGGTGAAGGGGGGAGCCTAGTAAACATAATGTTTCTCATGTAATTGTAGATTAATGTTACCAAAATAAAATAATAAAAATAAAAAAATCATTGGGTTATCTTATTAGCACTCTGCCCTAATAAATAAGATTTTTGCTTATTTCACGATATGTGGAATCTTAAAACAAAACAAAAAAAAATGAACAAAAGAGCAGTAGACTCACAGACACTGAGAAGGGACTAGTATTACCATGGGGAGGAGCTGGGTAGGGGTTGGTGGGTGAAATAGGTGAAGGGGATAAAGAGACACAAAATCTCAACCATAACATAAGTTAGTCACGGGGATGGTAGTGCAGCATGGAGAATATGGCCAATGGTTCTGTAACATCTTCTATGTTGACAGATGGTAACTGCACTAGAGGGGGTGAGGATTTAATAATATGGTTAACTGTTGAACCACTGTGTTGTATATTTGAAACTGATATAATATTGTATATCAACAATATTGAAAAAATAAAGAATCCATAGAGATCCCAATGGATCAATTGAAAATTATAAGCAATAAGGTATTACAGTAAAGTGTATGGATACAAAAAAAATACATGAAAATCAATAGCTTCTTGATATGAGCAAAAATTAGGCTATAAAATGAGAAATGAGATAACCATCATAATGACAAAATAATCATGCTGGGTAACTAAACGTTAAGATGGAGCATACATTTTCCACTTTACCAGTTTTTATCACTATCTTTTCATTTCTTCAACATAGAACAGCTTCTGTTTATTCTCATACTTCCAATGTTGTTTATCCATATGGAGTTAAAAAAAGAACACTTCTGAAATTATTTTTAAATCCATATCTCTGTCAGTTAAGGAAAAGTTAGAAGAGGGCACCTGTTTTCAATAAAATGGGAGCGAAAGCAAATTTTTCTCATTTGTAGGAATGAAATCTACTCCTGTGTAATTATTGGGCAGATAAAATAAGACTGTTAAAGAACATACCACATGAGGCTGTTATGAAACACCCCATAGTTAGCTCTATAGCCAGCATCTAAGAAAAAATAGATGGTCTGAAAACCAGAGAGGATTTCATCAGTGTTTATTTCTGAATGGACATCAAGTAAGTGGACTGCTGTGGACATCGCAGGTTCCTCTCGAGTAACCAATTCCCAGGTATCACCTGCTCCAACCACACTAGCCTTGCTCAAACATGCTAATAAGCTTGCTTTATTCTCATGGTGTTCGTTCCCTCTCTGCTGAGAATGTGCTCCCATCCACGTCGGCCTGGCCATCTCTCACACCACAGGTCTCTGCTCAGATGTCCCTCACCTGAAAGGCCGTCCCTCATGGCTCTCTAACCTCTTCTATTCATGGGCCTTGGAATCTGAATTCATACTGTGCACACAGAACTTTTCATTGAGTAAACAGAACTCAAAGGAGAGCATCATAATATAAGTGGTTTGTTAAAAAAAAAAAGATTTTGCAACATTATTTTGAAAAAGAAAAACTATCAAGTTGCCTATAATAATTGCTAAGAAGTCAGACATGCTTTTATTAATATGTATGGCTGCATAAATATTCATATTTAAAATGTAAGCCCTCTTTCATCTTCTCTGAAAAATGAACTGATTATTTAAAAGCTGCATATTTAAATAATGGAAGGCGTGCACGGTTGCACGGTTCTAAAATGCCGTCCTTCAACGGATCTCCTTACTCAGCCTTTATTAACTAATTTTACCACATAATGTACATCACCAGTGAATTGATTTTAAATATTTGGAGCTTGCTGGAAAAGAGTACAACTTGCTTATGTAAATTATATTACTCAAAAGCTGGCTCACTCATGAATATTCAAAGTGAAACTACAGATTTATCAGAGGCACACTATCATATTATGAATTAAAACAGCATTTAAAGATCCTAATTGTTTGTAAAACATATCTGTCCAACATGTAATTTTAAGAGTGTGCTTTTTTTCTTATGAAATCCAGTAACTTCCAAATACCATGATCTGGCATTTTGTGTTTTCCATTATACTTAGTAAGTACCACATTTTATAAGATAATGGGAATAAATAAAACCTTCTTACTTCTATTCAGCACCTGCCATTCAAAGGTTTCTAAGCCTATTAAATTCCATGACTTGGTAACTGCAGCCTATTCAACTCCAAGGGTATGCTGAAGAAAAGAACTGACGCTCCAACTCTTTGTTACAACTAAAGAAATGCAAGGGTAAATTCTCCTTACACAAAGTCTTGTGATAATTTAGCATTCATGCATGGCAGATGGACCTTCTGTTCTAAACTCTTAATTCAAGAGTCAAAGAGGCAACTGGGGACGGACAATAGGGCACCAGATGGACCTGGCCAGGGACAATATACAGAAATGAATGACATCACAGTTGCTTCATTTCCTTCCATGCAGTGAGCACAAACAGGGTGAGCTCTGCTTACGGAGAATCCAAAGTGAGTGATTTTTGTCTCGCTTCTCTTTTGATCAGCTGCTGTAGTTCTCTGCAGTTCTGAGGTTCACCCCCAATGCCCAGTAATGCCAGCAGGGTACGCCTGCCCTGGTCTCCTTAGGGTGGAAGTCTGTAATCATTTCTAAGAAACAAGGGATCCTGAAAATACTACCAGGATGTTTCTAGGACTGAAGGGTAGACTGATGGAGTAGGATTCATGTTAATTTATTAATACACATAACAGGTACATACTGAGCTCCTCCTACACGCCAGGTAGGCTGTTATGTACTAAGATTCAGAGATGAATGAGACACGATTCCTGCCCTCACTATTTAGGTGGGCAGACAGACCCGTATACAACTAACTACAGCAAAAGCCAAATGAAGTCCCCTAACTGAGAAGTCCATGATTTATAGGTAAACATGAGACTGAACAGTGAGCTCCTGGGAGGAATCACCTGGATCAAGGCTGAGGAGACAGACGACACAGTACCGGGAAAACATGTCACCCTAGGGCTAAGGAACAAGGACAGGAAACGGTTTTCCTGGGGCCTGTGTAAGCCAGTGGTATGGGAGAGGGGCTGCCCTGTGGACACCATAATCATGGGAGACAGCTGACCACCAGAAATGCAGCCCGGGGCAGAGAAGCAGGGGAGAGAGATGGCCCCTGACTTGCCTCCTGCTTCCCGACTTCCTGCCACTGCCCCTGAAGGCAAACCCCCCCCAAAGCCATCTGGCAAGGAGACCAGACCAATGCAGTCAGCAGGAGCCGGGCTCCTGGGGCCCGGACAGGGCAGAGGCGAGAAACTGGAAGCACAGTGCAGGGTGCCCAGCTCAGGGGCCTGTCACGTTAATTCACCTTAACCACAAAAATGTCTAGTTTACAAGGACAGGTTGCTTAGAAGGGCATGAAAAAGTGCAACACAAAACAAATAAATTGTGAAGCGGGAAAATGGACACATTTAAAAACTGCTGGTCCACGTTAAGGAAAAAGTCAGATAGCTTATCAAAATGAGGTCCCTAGGCAAGC